GCTGAAAACTCAATAACAAGAAATAAATAAATAATTCTTTCACTAATAGTAATTCCCAAATTAATTTCCATCATTTAACAAATTAATCTCTCAAGCCAATGAAACAATATCAAATATAATTGGGTTCCAAGAATTTATTACGCACGAATTATGCTGAGGTCGTACGACCCGATCCAACATACAAATATATAAACTGTGCACTGTCGAGGGTCGAACGGCACGAACCATAGATGTATCTATTCTATTACTGAGGCATTAGGGCCGCTCCACAAGAAGAGAAAATACTTTATAAACAACCGGTTCAAATATTATTAAGAGGCTATTATTCAAAGAAACACCAATTCTCATTAACGGTCAAGTAACCTGTCTAAAACTCAAGTAAANGGAGGGAGCCGAGGGTCTATCGAAAACAGCCTCTCTACCCTAGGGTAGGGGTAAGGTCTGCGTACACATGACTACCCTCCCCAGACCCAATTAGTGGGATTATACTGGGTTGTTGTTGTTGTTGTTGTACAATTCCTTTGTCAAGTTCCAATATGTTTTAAACAATTAAATTAGCAAGTAGGGTGCAAACACTGCAAGTATAACATGATTTGGGTCTTAGACTACCCGGACATAAGCATACTTAGTAGCTACGTACGGACTCTCGTCACCTCGTGCGTACGTAGCCCCCACAAATAGAAGTACATATTAAATTAATTCACCTATGGGGTTAATTCCCTCTTACAAGGGTAGAAAAGAGACTTACCTCGTCTCAAAGCTTACTTTCCGATCCACAAATGTGCTTTACACCCTCAACTCGGTGTCAAACGACTCAAAACTAGTCAAATATTATATAAAATAATCAATACATATTCAAAAGTCCATATCCTAACTATTAAAGTGATTTTTCAACCTTAATTGAAGAACTCCTAAAATTCACCCTCGGGCCTACGTGCCCGGATTCCGAAAATATTTGAAGAAAGTTGTTACCTGTAACCTCATGAACTCAAATATATGATTTTACTAAATTCCATAACCATTTTCGTGGTTAAATCCTATTTTTATCAAAAACCTAAGTTTTTCATCTAAACCCATGATTTTAAAAAATTTACATGTTAAAATTTACCCATAATCTATGTATTAAACTCACATTAGGTAGAAATTACTTACCTTCAATAGCTAGGTTGAAGTCCCCCTTTTTGAAGCTTCAAAATCGACCACGAGTACAATAAATAAACCCAAAAATGCCTAAGTCCCGACTTAAATGAAGTGTTCTGCCTTCTGCGATTTTCGCATCTGCAGTCAGGGGGCCGTATCTGTGGTCCCGCTTGTGCTGCACCAAGCCCGCTTCTGTGGAACTCCACAGGACCAACGCTGGCCGCATCTGCGGACGTGTTTCCCCTTTTGTGGTCTCACTTCTGCGGCTTCTCATCACAGAAGCGGGGTCGCTTCTGCCCAAATCCCTTCGCTTCTGCGGGCCATGGCCAGACGCTCCAAGCCGCCTCTGCGGCCAAAATCCCGCATCTGCGGGCACCCCAGAACTGGTGCACCAGCAGCCCTCTTGAGCTTTAACTCAATTCGCGCACCGTCCGAATGGCCTCTGGGCCCCCGAGGCCCCGCCCAAACATACCAACAAATTTAAAATCATAAGACGGACTCGCTCGCAACCTCAGAACGGGTAAAACAACATCAAAACTAAGAATCACACCCCAAACCGAATTGAATCAAAATATGAACTTCAAGTTCTTCCAACTAACTCTGAATGCGCCGAAACATACTTAGACTACTCGGAACGATACCAAATTTTGCGTGTAAGTCTTTAATCACCATACGGGACTATTTCCGGTCTCGAATTCCAATTGAACCTCGATAACACCAACACCTACTCCAACCCAAACTTAAAGAGCTTTAAAACCTTCAAAGAGTCAACTTTCACTATTACGCTCTGAAACGCTCATGGGTCATCCAAAACCTGATCCGAACATACGCCCAAGTCCGAAATCATCATACGAACCTATTGGAACCGTCAAATCCCGATTCCGAGGTCATTTACTCAAAATATTGACCGAAGTCAAACTTAGTCTTTTTGGCCAACCTTAAGGAACCAAGTGTCCTGATTTCAACCCGAACCCTTTCAAATCCCAAACTAACCATCTCCGCAAGTCATAAAACAGTAAAAGCACATACGGGGAGTCTTATTTAGGAAAATGGGGTTCTAAAATGCAAAACAACCAGTCGAGTCGTTACACTTAATGACCAAACCATGGACAACCAGTGCACGCACACACGCCCGTCACTCCAAATCTTTCATATAATGTAGTACTTGGGGTTAATTTCCCTCAAATCCAAGTTTAGATGTGTTACTTACCTCAAAGCCCGCAACTCGAAGCTCCAACAAACCTTTGCCTCGCGAATTGGCCTCCGAACGACTCGAATCTACTCACAAACAACTTAATATAATCAAAACAAGCTATAGGAATCGATTTCATATGATAAAGCTAAGATCTTTAACCAAAATCAAAAAGTCAACCTCGGGCCCACGCTTCGGAACCCGGCAAAATTTATAAAATCCTAACACCCATTCGATTACCAGTCAAACCATACCAAAATCATCAAATTCCAACCACAAATCGACCCTCAAATCCCCAAATCTTACTCTCTAATACATAGTCCAAAATATTCCAAAATTTCACCTCAAACACACATAATCTAGGTGTTAAAATCAATGGATAAACAATAATTATCAATGAAAATGATGAATCTTCACTTACCTCTTCAATGGTAGACAAAACCCTCTCAAAAATTGTCCTCAGCTAAGCTCCCAAAGTCCAAAGTGAGAGAAATCACGAAACGCTTTGTTTAAATCCTTCTGCCCAGGCTTTTTGCATCTACAATCAACTTCGTCGCTTATGCGGAACTGCTTCTGTAGTCAAATTTCCGCATCTGCAGAATTCACTTAAGCCCCCGATCTATCGCATATGTGGTCCCCTCTTCGCATCTCGGGACCGCTTTTGTGGCCACACCATCGCTCTTGTGCTTCCGCACCTGTGGAGACCTTCCGCTTCTGTGGCCACACCATCGCTCTTGCGCTTCCGCACCTGCGGAGACCTTCCGCTTCTACGACTTTTCGCTTCTGCAGACCTTCATGTGCAGAAGCGCATCCGCTTCTGCGAGAATTCCTCTGCACCTGCTCTCCCAGACTGCCTTCCCATTTCTCGCATTTGCGAGTACCTGACCGCTTCTGCGATGCCACACCTGCTGCCAAAACTTCGCAGGTGCGGTTACACCAGAATTGCTGCCAACAGAAATTGCACAAGTCAAATTCCCAATCCGATTTCAATCCGAATTACACCTGAGGGCCCCGGGACCCCATCCAAGCATACCAACCCGTCCTAAAACATGATACAAACTTAGTCGAAGCCTTAAATCACATCAAACAACATCCAAATCACAAATCGCAACCCAATTCAAGGCTAATGAAACTAATGAACTTCCAACTTCGTAAACCAATGTCGAATCATATCAAACCAACTCCAATTAACCTCAAATTTTGCACACAAGTCATAAATAACACAACAGACCTATTCCAACTCCCGAAATCAAAATCTGAGTCTGGTATCAACAAAGTCAACTCGCGGTCAAGTCTCTCAATCTTTCAAACCTTTAACTTTCTAACTTTCGCTAATTCAAACCAAAACGACCTACGGAGCTCCAACTCAATATTCGAACATACTTCTAAGTCCAAAATTACCATACAAAGCTATCGAAACAATCAAAACTTTATTCTGGAGTCGTCTACATAAAAGTCAACCTCCAATCAACTCTTTCAACTTAAACTTCCAACCTTAGGACTAAGTGTCCCATTTCACTCTGAAACCTCCCCAAAACCAAACCAATCACCCCGGCAAGTTACATAACCACAAATAAACATAGAAGAAGAGATAAATAGAGAAACGGGGCTACAATACACAAAACGACCGGCCGGATTATTACAAAAGGACCGAGCCTGAATCTTCACTTATATGCGCTTTTACCCCTTTTAATCTTTTAGGGTTAATTTCACGATTACTTATCTAATAAAAGTCTAATACATTAAAGTTCTAAAACTAACGGTAACAATCAGACCTTTTGTTCTTTCTTTTGGTCTGTATAATAATTTATGACTTATTGGTGTGATTTAGATTGAGATCCGAGAGATCGAATATTGTTTACCCATAAAATGGTACAGTTGAATTTATACGTGGTTTATAGACAAGCGAATAGATTTGATCCCAAAATGATAAATAGATTAAATAAGAATATAAGACTCATCGTTGAAATAGAGATAAGACAGTAGAAAGCTTCTGAAGGCAGTAATAACGATATTAAGAAGCAAGAAAATAAAATATTATTGAGCTTTGAACAGTAGATAGCATAATTTTGTCAGAAAAGTCGTGTCCGTACAATGGCTGTTGAACTCACTATTTTTAGTTGCATCTAGGGAACAAGGTCCTAGGATCAAACCCCTTTTATGGATTCTATTGAAGAATGTGTAACGGCAAGCTATAAATGTCATATTCTCTGTAATGACCTATGTACTTAATGCTATAGAATATTCTTCATTGAATGTCACCGGGTGATAGGTATTTATTTGTCTTTAGGAGCAACATTCCCTCCGGGGACAACCGAAATTGCTGCCTCCGGGTTTGATTTTCACCTGTCTCGTTTTTCATCTGTCTCTAGCAACGACCCAGTAAAATCCCATAAAGTTGGATTCGGAGAGGGTAATGTATACGCAGATCTTACCCCTATTTTGATGGATAGAGAGTCTACTCTCAGCTGAGAAAGACGAAAATAAAACAAGAAGAGACAATTCATCACTAACGTTAGCAGATACCGTAGAAATAATAGCAGAAACATAAAAACAAAGAAAATAGATGACCAGTAATCAGTCAGAGGGGCACAATTGTGCATTCATACAACAAGAAGCCCCTATATCGTAAAATCCGCAAACTTCAAAAACTCCACCTTTTTAATCCACCATTCCCCACTCTCTCCTTTTTCTCTCTCCTACTACTACTTGCTCCAGCTTCTTTCATCTCTGTTCATTGTTTTCTCCTTCCTCCTACATATTTTTTAGAGAGAGAAAATGGTGGATGAGTTCATGGTGTGTGTGGATAGGATCATAATAGCAACAACATGTTTTGGAGAGTCAGAGTCAGTAGTCAATGGGAGAGAAATTAGCCTTTTGACTAATAATGATGTTGCAAATTTGAGTGTTGAAAATAATTCAAAGGAAATGGTGAGTAAAATTAGTAGTGGAGGGGAGGGTTGTTCAAAGGGAAGTGTAATTAGAGAGTGTAGGATTTGTCAAGAAGAAGACGAAGAAAATGACATGGAAGCTCCTTGTGCTTGCAATGGCACTCTCAAGGTTCAAAATTCTTTCTGGGGTTGCCTTAATTTTTAATTTCTTTCTTAAAGTTGAAATCTTGGTTATAAATTTCAGTGTTTTGCTACCCCTTTTTATTTTCTTTCTTGGGTTGGCTTAGGAAATGTGCTTTCTTTCTACTCTTTTCTTTTTCTTTTTGTTAATTTTTTTTTATAATTAGTTTCTTTTAGTTGAAATTTTGGTTATAAGAGTCAGTTTTTGCTACCCTTTTTTATTTCTATTCTTTTTTTTTTCTGGGGTTGCTTTAATTTTGTTTTTGAATTTTTTGGTAACAAGTTTAGGTTTTTGCTACCACTTTTGCCTTTGCTTTAGCTTGAGTAATGTGTCTTGTTTCTTCTCTTTCCTCATTTTGATTTATTTCAAATGAGTACAAAAAATTTCTTTCTCTTTCCTTGGTTTGTTGGTCTATGTAATATTTATAAATATAAAATAAAAGATTGATGCTTTTTATGTGTCTTTGTGGAAGACTTCAATTTTCTTCTTCTATTTGTTAAATTAACTTTAGCAACTCCCTATATAAATCATATAAAATGTCAAACGAATTGCACTAACCCAAAAAAACCTTTTTACCAAATCCAACTATTTTTGTAAGATTTGTTTTTAATCCTGTTGATATTTTTTTGGAGTTTGTGCATTTCTTTTTGATTTTTCACATGACTAATGCTGTATGCTCTGCAACTTTAGGAGTTATTTTTGTTCTTATCTGGAAATAAATCAATAACTGTGTTTGTTCACCAAACTTTACTATTTACAAAACTTTTCATTAAATGTGAATTTTGAATATTCTATTCTCTTTGAAGAGAAAACTTACTTGCAGCAGAGATGTGCACCAAACATTAAATGTATGACAAGAGTCTTTTAACCAAAAGTTTGTAACCTAACCACAGTTAATCATTAACATGCATTCTCACTTTTATTTGTAACTCTTGTGACTAAATGAGTTGTAGGGGTTATATTGGGATTTAATCACTTTTAAGGGAATTTATGTCAGTTTTCAAATGTCATAATGTTGTTACGTAAATGGTCTTTCAGTTATTCTGGATTCCACATGTGGATTATAGGCAGTTATTTTAGCTTGAGTTTTTGAGCCACTTTAAAGGCTTTTCAAAATAAGATACTATTGAATTGGATCTTAAGGTCATATATTTTCTTGGATTACATCTGAATGATCATTGTCTATGTCTCTTTGGACTGACTCAAGCTGTTACAAACCATAATACTTATGTTCACATTGAATTTGTAGAGCTTGTTAATGCTGCAGTTTTACCTTTATTTTCAAGATTTCTTAACTACACCATTAGATTGAAAAGCTAAGAATTGAAATTGTGTCATATTGGACCTGCAGTTTGCTCATAGGAAATGTATCCAGAGATGGTGCAACAAAAAAGGTGACATAACCTGTGAAATCTGTAATAAGGTTGGTAAATTTTAAACACTTCCGCTGTAATTAGAAGATATTTATCTAGCCTCAAGTGAAATTTGAGATGTTATTATTCTTCAATCAGGTCTTTTCACCAAACTATACCCTTCCACCTGCAAGAACCAGCCCTGATGTAATGGCAATTGATATAAGGTAAGCTTTTTAGTTGTATAATATTTGCTGTGTTCTTTTAAATCTTACAGTCACATTTCTGTGTAATACATGCTTTATTTAAAAAAAGTTCTTTTTTTTTGTGTGTGGTGTGTCTGGCACTTTTAGTGGTTCCGGCTTAGTGAAACCAGAGGCAGAGCTAGCCTTTGAGTTACAGGTTTGACGAAACCCGGTAACTTTGGTTCAAGCCCTGTATTTGTCTTAAGAAATCTATTGAATATGTACAAATTATTAATTTAGACCCCACTAACTCCAACGGATTAGAATCCAGAACTCATAAATTTCTAATCATGACTTTGCCTCTGAGTGAAACTTGCACTATATGTTGGGATTAACTGTTTTGTAGGTTCCGCTATCTACAATAATTGGTTAGTGGATAAGGATTAGTTGTAACCTTGCTTAATCGGCCTCCTTAAAGGAAGATAAGATATAAGAATATATTGTTCTGTTAAACAGAATATGAAAATACGACTCCGAAGACTTCCGTTGGCTCACCTTAAATGGCTGTTTTGGTGTCAGTTTTCTTGCCTACTTAATGTCTTTACACTGCTGGTTTCAGAAATAGGTCATCATTCTTATCTTTATCTGGATCACTATCATAAATAGGAGGAAGTAACTTACTCCAAACAGCTTGAGTACCTAATAATTTGATGAAAATTTTATTATGGTAAATATAAACGTTGAAACTTCATTCTTTACATAGAAACTTATAATCTGTTATCTGAAATCTAACAAGTAGCTTTGGCATTGAATGAATTTGTTCTGAAGATCAGTAGCTAACAAGTTTTTAAGAGAAATCTTAAGGGAAATCAATCCTTTTGAATAGTGATCTGGAACTTAGACTAAAGGTTGTTGCATAAGTTGTAATACCGTCAATTTTGTAAATTCTTATAGATTACAGATGATTTACAGCAGAATCTATCATTGCCTCATGATCAAAATGGGCAAATGGTAAACAAATCTTTTGTATGAGTGGTTAAATGTGAAGCAGCAGTGTCGGATCCCACTACACTAATATATATGATCTCAAATATCAAGTTTCTGGCATCTATTCCGGTAGTCTGTTTCTGATTGATTTTTCAAGCATTCTGACTTTTTTATCCTACCTTTGCTTAAATCAGGCAAGCATGGGGCCCTGGCATGGATATTAGAAATCCACATTTTCTGGCTTTTGCCGCAGCTGAGCGTCAATTCCTGCAATCAGAGTATGAGGACTATGCCATTGCTAGCAGTGGGAGTCTAGCATGTTTCCGCTATGTTGCAATCATTGTAAGTAAAAGCTGTGTAATGCTTCTACGATTTAGTGATTCTGTTTGTAAGAACTTTATTATTGAAGGTGGTTTATCTTCTATTCATGCAGTTGATGCTACTCTTGCTGATACGCCAAACCTTGATGGTCACAAGGGACTTTGCAATGGTGCAGGACTCATCTACATTCTTCAATGTAAGTCAGAGTTGTAGCTCCATATATCTTTTGTCAATAGCTTGTGCTGGAGAGTGGCAGTGTCATGCTGTTCCAAGACTCGGTCCTTTCATTAGGTTTGCATAACTGAATGTAATTATAAAGTGTGCCGTCTCGTATAAAAAATTAGTATGACATTTATATCATGTTTCTGAAGTTTAAGTTGTTCGTTATGGATGCATGTTTAATCTTCGACAAATTCATGCATAATGATCTTGTATGGACAACTTTTGCTTGATTCTAATCATTCTATACATACACAGCGACACTTGCACAGACACTCTAATAAATGTATCTGAAGCATGTTTTGTGAACTTCAGTTTCAGATTTCACTTCTACAGCTGGCGGCTTTCCTCCTCCCTTGTTATGTAATGGCTCGGACATGGTACATGATACAATGCCGAAGAAGGAGGCAGGTGTGTTTAACCTAGTCGTTTATCCTAATCATTCTCTTTCCTCTTGCCTTCTGCCCTTCAATTTTGCATACCTTTTTAAGTTTTTGGTTGGCTAAATACGATGAAACCATAGTCATAAAGAACCGCATCAAGTACAAAGAGAAGATGTGCATCTCTGATGAACCTGAGAACTAAAATTGCTTAGCTCTTCCTTTTTCGAAGTAGCTTATTGGAATAAAATCAGTAAATTGATTCCTTGGTAACTATTGCTAATTTGCTACTATTGATTCATCTCTTCTTTTTTTTCTTAAACTTTTTCAGGCAGTTAGTGTTTGTCTATTAGTTTCTGAAGCACTACAACTTCTACGCTCCTACATCTTTGCTAACTTAAAAGACTTCCATAGAGCCAATTTCATTTGATGGCTCCTTTTCCTAACAATTGATTCTCATGAGTCATATGATCATTATGGTAACCATGGCTTATCCTAATACAGTTAGTTCTAGCGAAATGAATTGCTGAGATTTTGAAAGTGGATTTGCACTTGATTGCTCCAGACTATATTATCCTTAACAGAGTTGATAGTACTCCCATCTTGAAATATAATGTACTAAAAAAAGCAGCATTAATGCTTTTCTTTAGGTTGCTTAATGCTGTTCTGGAAGTTGCTAGCCATGGGNGGGGTGGGATTAAAAAAAAATGTTGCTACGTAGTACTTACTATCCAACTCAAGACCTTTTCTTGTGATGTGGTTGAGCTGAATATGAAAATTTTCATTAAGTTTCATGCACATATACACAAATCATATTTTTAGTGAAGAAAGACATCTGAACTGTAATAGCTTTCTACATTTTGGGGGAAAATAACACCTGCTTCAGAACCTTTTTGTTATCAATGAAATGAACAAGAGTTTCTTTTTCTTCTGCTCTTGGTGCTGTCTGTTTTTGGTTCTGACTTGTATATGCTGATCTTCAGTGCTTTCTTCATATATGAATGAAATCTGGCTTAGTCTGTAGTTGAAGTGATAGACATTTCCATCTCATCTTATGTACTTCATAAATGAGGCATTATCGGAGAAAGTATATCATAAGGCTTTGATGTTTGTTAACTATGACGTCCACCCTTTGAAGTTTTGATGTCCAAGTATCCTGACTCCCCTCTCTGTTTTCTTGTTAGAAATCTTAGGATTCTGAATGGTTTTGAAACTGCAGATGGAAACTTCTTTTGCTTTATCTTACATGTTAACGGTTGATTTCAGGGTTAAGAAGGAACCCATGGTTGATAGCATGACCTTTTGCAGCCTTTCTCGTCTCTAATGTTGGACAAATGCTGCTGTTGTACATCAACCTTCTCTTTCCCTAATATCTGTATTTATCTTTCAAGGTGCAAGTTAAGCTTGCACTTTGGTGCTGAAAATCCTTTAGCTCTTTGAGCTACATATAAGCTCTTCCCCAGTTTCTCCTACCCGTGAACTCGTAAGCAAATGTAAATATGTGAGGATTTGAGTTCACTAGCGGTTTCTATCACCTTGTTCTATAATATCAGATATTGGATGTCACTAAAAAACAATTGGCCATCCATATGAAATTTCTAATGGAACAGTCTGTAGAGGATTAAGTGGAAGCCAGAAAATTGGTTAAATCAAGATTCTTCTGCACTGAAAGATCTGATTAAAATTTATTTTGCATTGTTCTCAAGATTCTTATATCTATTTTTCAACTTGTGGTAGTCTAGTTGAAAGGTTCACACATGATGAAGCAATCCTGTCCTCTAACTCACTCTCTAGAAAATCACCGCTATCAAAAAGGGAATAGAAAGTAATGTAACTCGGAAAAGGCATTTTCTTAGATTTAGTGTTCGGACCAACGTCTTTTTACCTAATGTTTTTTGAGTGCTTTTGGTTAATTTATAGAAGGAAGCTTTAGCTATGTCTCTTGATTGGAATTAAGCTAATTAGGGGTGGGCATAAAATTCGAAAAAATCGAATTCCGAACCGAATCGAATTAATTTAATATTTCGATTTCGGTTTTTTCGGTATTTCGATACAAAAACTTTAGTATTTCGGTACGGTATACGGTATTTAGTTTTTGATATTTCGGTATATCAAAATAGTTTAGTCCAAGCCCAACTTTATTTTTATTTTTTAGCTCAATAACCTTAAGCCCACGCTCAAAAGTCTAAAACCCCTACCCCTAATTACCTAATCTCTTACCCTTAGGCTTAGTCATGAGTGACAACCATTCTCTGTATAGTATTGGTACAATAGTTTCATTCTCTGTATACTATTGTTGTAAGTCTTGTGGTACAATCATTCTTTGCTCCTCACTTGTATAAGTTCTTAAACCAAAAAATATGCCTGCCTTGAACAAACTAAAAATTCTCCGATAAAGAAAAACATACAGATTACAGTATTTACTATAAAGCCTCAAATAAATAACATAAATTACACAAAGAGGGGAAATCATTCACGGAATAAGATACATAAGATAACAACCTAGTTTAACAATTTGAAGCCAGAATGAAACTCATCGACTAAAGAACACATTAGTTGGATCATTTTCACACACTAACGACTATAAATCTCACAACAATTCGTGGAGGCAAATTGTAGTCCGACAGTCATTGACTCATCTTCTTCTACTCAAACTCAAAGTGTATTGCCTTTCGTCTCTTCTCTGTACACAACCTGAGAACTTAAGATTGATCTTTGGTGGAATCTCAAACAACATGGATTACATTAGTTAATGGAGTGGAGGAGACGGTAAAAATTTGGTTTAAATCGAAACCGTACCAAAATCGTACCGAACCAAAATAAAAAATATCAAACCGTATCGAAATACTTTGGTACGATATTTGGTATACATAATTGATAAACCGAATACTGAAATATCGAACCGAAATTCTTAAATACCGAACCGAAGTATCGAATGCCCACCCCAGAGCTAATCAAGAAAAAAACATAAGAGGAGTTTCAACTTCCAACTCATGGTGGTCGCTGTGTACAGTATATAATGTGTATGGCAATCTCTTAGAAGTTTCAAGAAAGTATGTTCCTCCTATTAGATAGACCTTTCGGTCATGAAGCTAATAGTGGGCAGTTAGAACTAATTACGTTATTTTGCGATCTTTGAAGACAGAATAAACTTACAATTCTCTATTCAAATCAGTCAAATCGAACTGAAAAAGATTAAAAAAACAACAACAATACCGAACTTAATTAGGCATTGGTATAATATATTAAGCAATTGAATATCCAAAATACCAAATCAAAATATTTGAAAATCATATTGAACTGACCGATGATCACTCCTAGATTTGGAAAAATGAGAAGTAAATACTTTTTCAACATCAAATTAAACAGTTTAGCTAAAATTAAAGTGAAAATACATACAACTTAACCCTGATATGTGTAAGGAAAATATGCGTCTTACATTCATGAGTTGAGAGTAATGACCAAGTGTAATACTCCCTATATTCCAATTTATGTGAACCTATCTGACTTGGCACGGAACATATAAACTTTCGAACTCATAACTTTAAAACTCGTAAAATTTCGAACCTGTAAACTAAAAAATAAAAAAAATCAGAACTGAAAATATAAGAAAAATATTTTTTTTTGCGGGGGTGGTAGGGTTGGTGCAGAAAAATAAAAAACAGAAAAGAGAAAATTGAAAATACAAAAAAAAAAAAAAAAAAAAAAAAAAAAAAAAAAAAAAAGCAAAAAAAAAACAATTACGGGGGAGGGTGAGGGGTGAGGGGTTGGGTGGTGTAGAAAAACGAAAAAACAGAAAATCGAAAATACAAAAAAAAAGTAAAAAAAATAGGGTGAGAGGTGAGGGGGTTGGGTGGTGTAGAAAAATAAAAAAACAGAAAATCGAAAATACAAAAACAAAAAGTAAAAAAAATATTTTTTTTTTGCGGGGAGGGGGTGGATGGTTCAGAAAAATGAAAAAATCGGGGGTGAGTAGAGTAGAAAAATTAAAAAAAATAGAAAATTGAAGTTGGATGGGGCAGTAAAGAATGAGAAAATATTTTTCCTCGTACCAAACAATAAGTGTCACAATTTTTCCAAAACATTAAAACCCCCGTAGGCCGCAGCAAAAAGCCAAATCAAGAGTTCCATTTCTGCAGTCCAAATGGAAACCGAAGGAGATGATGCTACCCCTCGAAACCCAAAACGGAGAAAACCCCTAAACCTTCCTGCTCAGTCAAGCCAAGATTTAATGCCTACCCTTCCTCCTGAACTCATCACAGAAATATTGTTAAAGCTTCCAGTTAAATCCCTCTTGCAATTCAGGTCTGTTTCAAAATCTTGGCTTTCCTTAATCTCTAGCCCTGAATTTGTGAAGACCCATCTCTTATTAGCCAACCACCGTGGAGTTATGTTTAATGTTTGTAATGCTACACACTATGTCAAGGAGTGTTCTCTTAGCGCTTTACTTTATGATTCTGTTGCTGAGGCATTTGACTTGGATTATCCCGGTAAAAATCCCTATTGTTATCCTTCGATTGTGGGTTCTTTCAATGGATTGCTTTGTCTTGCCGTTGCAGTATCTGACAGATTATTATATAACTTGTTTCTATGGAATCCATCAATTAGAAAGTATAAGAAATTGCCTAATTATACACTTGATGTAAGCCACCACTACAATTTGGACAAACATCGTTACGGTTTCAGATTTGGTTTTGCATATGATGCTTTCCTAGATGATTACAAGGTAGTGGGTATTTTTCCTATTTACAGAAATGGACGATTGTGTCGTGTTGAGGTCAAAATATATAGTCTAAAGTCTGATTCGTGGAGAGATATTGATGATTTTCAGGGTAGGGAGCTGTTGTCTGTTTCGGGTAAGCTTGTGAATGGGAAACTTCATTGGCTTGACAGGGACCAGAAAATCATTTCTATTGATTTGGCTGATGAGAAATGGGCAGAGGTAGAGCAGCCCTCTGATTTTAAAGGATGTGGGTTTTTGGTGCTAGCAGTGTTTGGAAATGATCTTTCTGCATTTTGTAATTATGAGTGGACGACTCATGCAGATGTCTGGGTTATGAAGGACTATGGGGTAAAAGAATCTTGGACAAAGATGTTTACCATTAAGTTTCCTCATCGTCCAACGGGATATATATTTACTCCACCCATTTTTATGTCAAACAAAGGTGAAGTTTTACTTCAGTTTGGATCACGTTTCACGAAATACAATCCAAAGGATGACTCGACCAGATATCTAGATGTTACTAACTTTGCTCCATGTCTTGAGGAGGCAGAAATCTATGTTAAGAGCCTAGTTTGTCCCTTTTTTACAGAAGGGATCGCAAAGGCAACAACAATGGAGTTGAAATAACTCGGATGAAGACAATCCTATGACTAATAATAACCTGTAAGAGTTACAGCCTATGCATTTTTCTTAAGTGCTGTTAAAATTCTGGTCCATATTGCTTGGGGATCTTGTTAGTCATTGAACTATTTTCAAGAAACGATAATCTTTTGCAAGAACAGTTATTTTGGTTGTATTACCTGGTGGCTTGAACTTCAAACTGATGATGAATGCATTGTGCTCTACAACTTTAGGAGTTATTTTTGTTCTTCTCTGGAAAATCAATATCTTTGCCCTTTTCTGTTCTCATCCTTTTCATTAAATGTGGATTTTTAATATTCTACTCTTGCTGAAGAGAAAACGTACCTGCAGGCTGCAGCTGAAATATACACCAAATAATAAAATGCAAAAAATGTATCTTTTAGACAAAATTTTGTTACGTGGCCATAGCTAATTATTACTCTGTGTCCCAAAAATGAAGATACTTTTCGGATTTCAAGAGTCAAAACGAGTTGTACTTTAACCATGACTTTCTCATATACCTTCTTTAAATATTTTGAATTGTTAGTTATTGTGACTTGACAAGAATGGGTTGTTTAGTGGTGAGCACCCTCCAGTTCCAATCAAGAGGTTGTGAGTTCGAGTCACCCCAAGAGCAACGTGGGGAGTTCTTGGAGGGAGGGAGCCGAGAGTCTATCGGAAACAACCTCTCTACCCCAGGGTAGGGGTAAGGTCTGCGTACAAACTACCTTCCCCAGACCCCACTAGTGGGATTATACTGGGTTGTTGTTGTTGTTGTTGTTAGTTATTGTGACACATAGTACCCTTTATATAGTTTCCAATTATATAAATTTTATTTAAGAAAAACTTAAAGATTCTATGTCCGAATTTATGGTCAAAGTTAAGAAGTTTGACTCTTCGAAATCAGAAAAGTATCATCCTTTTTGGGAGGGAGGGGGAGTACCATACATTTTCACTATAGTTTGTAACTCTTGGGATTAAATTACTGTAAATGGGTAAGATATTAGGAGTTCCGGAAAGTTTCGCACTAAATATTTTGTTATCTAGTACCCTTTTTCCTTGAAAATAATGCTCCCCTTTCCTTGAAAATAATGCTTACTTTCCCAAGTGCCTACTGCTGCATGTCAATTAAATTGAGATATATTCAATTATATGGAAATTTATGTTAATTGATGCTAGTTTTCAAATGTCATAATGTTCTTAGGTAAAGCTCTTTCTGTTATTCTGGATCTACATGAGTGTTTGCAGTTTTGGGTTCAGTTTTGAGCCACTTTAAATGTTTTCCAAAATAATATTGAATTGGATCTAAGATCATATCTTCATGGATTGCAATTGAATGATCATCTCAATGTGTTTTGTTGGACTGGCTCAAGCTGTAGCAACCATAGTCAACTAGATTTAATTCCCTTTTTATGTCCAATTCTTATGTTCGCATTTGAATTGATAGAGTTTGTTAGTACTGAAGTTTTACGCCAATATAATCAAATTTTCAGTACAATTACATGAAAGAACTAGTATTGAGATTCTGTCTTTCATTGGACCTGCAATGTACTCCTAGAAATGTTTTCGGAGACTGCAACAAAAAAGGTGACATCACTTGTAAATCTGTTATAAGGTTGGTATATTTTAAACGCTTCTGCTATAATTAGAAGATATTTCTCTAGCCTCAAGTGAAATTGAGATGTTGCTTTCCTTCTCAGTTTTTTTCACCAAATTATACCCTTCCACCTGAAAGGAGCAACCCTGATGTAATGGCAATTGATATCAGGTAAGTGCATCAGGTCGTCAGTTGTATAATACTCCCTCAGTTTCAATTTGTGTAAACCTGTTTTACTGGGCACGAAGTTTAAAAAAAATGAAGATTTTTGGTGTGATCCTAAACAATTCAAAAAGGGGCCCAGATTATTTGTGTGGTTATAAAAGCTTCTCATTAAGGATAGAATTGTAAGTTTAAGCAAAATTATTTTCAATAGAAAGGGGTCATTCTTTTTGGAACGGACCAAAGAAATAGGTTCACATAAACTGGAACGGAGGTAGTATTTGTTTTGATCTTTCAAATCTGTGTATACACATTTTTGTGTAATATATACCTTATCAAAGCAAAAAAGTTTCTGTTTAACACACCTTTTGAGGTTGCGGTGCATTGGAACTTGCTGTATAATTTTGGACAAACTGCTTTATAGGTTCATCTACTTCGATTATTCTACATCAATTGGTTAGTAAATAAGGATTAGTTGTAACTTGCTTAATTGGCCTCCTTAATGGAAGACAAGATATAAGAAAGTTCAGTTATGTTAAACAACAACAAACCCAGTGATGTCCCATCAGTGGGGTCTTATAGATTTAGTTCTGTTAAATACAACATCAACAATAACAACATACCCAGTATTATTCCTCACTGTGGGGTCTGGGGAGGGTAGTGTGTACGTAGACCTTACCCCTACCTTGTTAGGATAGAAAGGTTGTTAAATAGTGTGTGAAAATACAAGATCCCAAGACTTTTTTTTGCTTACCTTAAATGGTTGTTTGGCATCAGTTCTCTTGCCTGCTTAATGGCTATACACTACTGGTTTCTGGAATAGATCAATACTCTTATCTTATCTGGATCACTAACACAAATTAGGAGGAACTTACTCTAAACAAATGAACACTTCATAAGTCGATTGGATTTTGTAATGGTAATTGTTTGGTTTCTGAAGTAAACGTTGAATATCATTCTTTAAAGGGAAAAAGGCTAAATACACCCCTAAAGTATTCGATTTAGAGCAGATTTATCCTGCATTCAAAAAGTGGCCTATTCGTACCCCTGCCGTTACACATTTGGCTCGAGTTTGCACTTTTTTCTAACGGGAATCACCTACCTGAATTTAAAATGTTTTTCCTCATTTAAAAAATAAATAAAAATCCACTTGGCATTTTAATTAACCCCTCTGCGAATTCCCAACTCTCATACTAACCCCTCACATACGCGCACACACAGAGAAATGAGTTGTGTAATGGTTGTATCAGTGCATCAAAGATGAAGAACACTAGCTAAGGGTGGCAAGTGGGTTGGGCCGGGCCCCAAACGGGCCGGTCTCGTGGGTCGCGGTTCCGGTCCTTAAATAAACAAGCTAAACGGTCCCAGGCTAAACGTGCTTTTTGTAGGAACCGTCCCGGGACCGGGACCACGAACTCATGGTCCCGGGCTAAACGTCCGGGCCCGCGATCCAAACGGGCTAAATGGGCCCAACGGCTAAGCAGTAATCCTTTTTTAAAATTAAATAGAAATTAGAGACAAAAAGATGTTAAAAAAAAAATCTAAGGCAATGCCTTGTAATTTTATTATAGAACTATGACCTAATTTTTAAATTCAAACATAAAAACAAAAATATTGTAAAAAAATATTCAAAGCAATGCCTTGTAATTTTATTATAGTAATAAAAAATATGGCAATATCTTTCTTAGTCTTCCTCCCCCCTATGGAATGAGCACAACAAGGTGCTAATACCACCATTGTGAAGAAAAAGGAACTAATCAAGAAGTGCCAAAATACAAGTTACATAATACATACTAATTTTTGTTCATACAAGTTACATGCTATCTCTTACAAACTTCATAAATCCTTCAAGGTTCGGAGGAAGTTTCATTAGTGGTGGCGGAAAAGTAGCTTGGTCATTGCCGCTTCCCTTGTCGGGCGAAGCAGCATCTTCAGCAAGTTCAGCTAGCATTTCTTTGTAAGTTTCGTCTACCTCTGGTTGTGAATCTGCAAGTCCAAAATTTCTTCTTTCCGAACGGATTCAGTCTCTGAAAAGTACTGATTTTTCCAAGCTATTCCTCATAGACTATTTATGATCACCGATTTGAAGTCTTGCTTGACTGAAGCGCTCTCCGATGCCACTGTTGAAGCTTGAATAGTTAAAATATCTCGGGCCATCCTTGAAAGAACCGAAAAGTATTTTTTTTTTGTCCTCCACCATTGCAAAATATTAAAGGTGTCGTTGGGGGATTCACTTCCTCAAGTTGCTGCGACAAATAAATTTCAAGTTCATTTAGTTATGAAAAATCATTACTACTAGAACCAAAAGAACCCCTAAACCTTGCCCAAACACTAAGTCCTCTTACTCCCGCAGTTCTTTTAGAAGATTGAGAATCAGAAGAAGAAGGAGTGGGAACATTTGGTCTAGCATGATATAATGCAACTTGATAAGCATTATAAATAGTTTCAGCATTTGTTCTATTGCTTACGGAAGTTTAGGCAACTCATCATCTTCAAGTGCTAAACCATTATATACAGTTTCATACCAAAATTGAGGACCTCCTAATGTTATACAAGGATTTAACAAAGAAGCAATACCATAAATAGGGGGAATAGGCAAAAACTATTTTTTAAACTTTGTTCTAATAGAATCAATAGCAAATTAATAAATTTTCCCACCCTGTGAAAAATGAGCAAACAAATTTGCAAGTTCTGCAATATAAATTAAACAGTTAGAAATAACGCAAATATTGTTCATATTCATGCTTATATTTATAAATATCGCTCTTTACGGTTGTGCGAGAAAAACCTTTATAAGTAGGATTAAATTTTTTTCTAATGTAATGCACAAACGCAGGGTCAGAAGAAAAACTATAGGGTAAACACATAACAGTTACCAATTTTGCCAATTCTTCCCGATCTTTTCTTGGATCATAATATAAAATACCACCGGTAACAGTGTTAATTTCCGGTTGAAATTGATTTGAACTGGTACTAGGGTCAGCCTAACTAGGACTAGGTACACTTTACCCCTCGGCCAGAGCTTTCAGACGTTGATATCTGACGTTATCTTTAGGGTATTTTTTTATGTGTCTAGCCAAAGATCCCGTCCCCAACCGCGATCCCATATATTTAAAAGCTAACTCCATACCACAAGTTTTACACTTAGCCTTATTTTTTGGATCTAGTTGAGTAAAAAATGGCCAAACAGGAGATGCTTCCTGCTGTTTGGTAGGTTCTCTAGAAAAAGTAGGGGCAATAACGGGAG